CACTGATTTGGGAGCTTGTACATGTTGCGATTCATCTTGTGATAGTTCGGTGAACTTTCCCCTTGTGTTGATGCTTCAAATCTTGAGTTTTCACTAATTTGGGTGCTTGTACATGTTGCGATTCATCTTATGATAGTTCGGTGAACTTTCCCCTCGTGTTGATGCCTCAAATCTTGAGTTTTCACTGATTTGGGGGCCTGGGTAAGTAGCGATTCACCTTGTGATAGTTCGGTGATGTTTCCTCTTCATAGATTGTTTTAAAGCTTGTGTTTTCACTGATTTGGGGGCCTGGGTAAGTTGCGATTCACCTTGTGATAGTTCGGTGATGTTTCCCCTTCATAGATTGCTTCAAAGCTTGTGTTTTCACTGATTTGGGGGCATGGGTAAGTTGCGATTCACCTTGTGATAGTTCGGTGATGTTTCCTCTTCATAGATTGCTTCAAAGCTTGTGTTTTCACCTATGTGGGTGTTTGGGTAAGTTGCGATTCACCTTGTGATAGTTCGGTGATATTTCCCCTTCATAGATTGGTTCAAAGCTTGTGTTTTCACTTATTTGGGTGCTTCAAATCTTTTGTTGTCTCTGATTTGGGTACTTGGGTAAGTTGCGATTCATCTTGTGATAGTTCGGTGATGTTTCCCCTTCATAGATTGCTTCAAAGCTTGTGTTTTCACTGATTTGGGGGTCTGGGTAAGTTGATGTTCACCTTGTGATGGTTCGGTGATGTTCCCTCTTCATAAATTGCTTCAAAGCTTGTGTTTTCACTGATTTGGGGGTCTAGGTAAGTAGTGATTCACCTTGTGATAGTTCAGTGATGTTTCCTCTTCATAGATTGCTTCAAAGCTTGTGTTTTCACTGATTTGGGGGCCTGGGTAAGTTGCGATTCACCTTGTGATAGTTCGATGATGTTTCCCCTTCATAGATTGCTTCAAAGTTTGTGTTTTCACTGATTTGGGGGCATGGGTAAGTTGCGATTCACCTTGTGATAGTTCGGTGATGTTCGCTCTTCATAGATTGCTTCAAAGCTTGTGTTTTTACTGATTTTGGTGCTTGGGTAAGTTGCGATTCAACTTGTGTTATCTCGGTGATGTTTCCCCTTCATAGATTGCTTCAAAGTTTGTGTTTTCACTGATTTGGGTGCTTGGGTAAGTTGCGATTCATCCTGTGATATTTCGGTGATGTTTCCCCTTGGGTAGATGCTTCAAATCTTGTGTTGTCTCTGACTTGGGTACTTGGGTAAGTTGTGATTCATCTTGTGATAGTTCGGTGATGTTTCCCCTTGGGTAGAAGCTTCAAATCTTGTGTTGTCTCTAATTTCGGTGCTTGGGTAAGTTGCGATTCACTTTGTGATAGTTCGGTGAACTTTTCGCTGGGTCAGATGCTCTGAGACTTGTGCCTTCTCTGATTTTGATGCATGTCTAAGTTGCGAATTACCTTGTGATGCCTCGGCGATTTTCCTCTAGGCAGATTGCATTAGTCTTGTTATTTGGCTATGACGGTGAGTGTATGTGTGAGTGCCGCAGTCCCCGGTAACTTGTGCAATCCATCTTTACCCCTTCTTTTACCCAGTAAGATTTGTGTACGTGTGAGTGTTGCAGTCCCCGGTAACTTGTGCAACCCATCTTTACCCCTTGTTGTACCCAGTAACATTAGGTGTGTGTATGTGTGAGTGTTGCAGTCCCCGGTAACTTGTGCAGTCCATCTTTGCCTCTTGCTGTACCCAGTAACGCTCGGTGTGTGTATGTGCGAGTGTTGCAGTCCCCGGTAACTTGTGCAGTCGATCTTTGCCCCTTGTTGTACCCAGTAACACTCGGTGTGTGTATGTGTGAGTGTTGTAGTCCCCGGTAACTTGTGCAGTCCATCCTTACCCCTTGGTGTACCCAGTAACACTCGGTGTGTGTATGTGTGAGTGTTGCAGTCCCCGGTAACTTGCGCAGTCCACCTTTACCCCTTGCTGTACCCAGTAACACCCGGTGTGTATATGTGTGAGTGTTGCAGTTACCGTTAACTTGTGCAGTCCATCTTTACCCCTTGCTGTACCCAGTAACGTTCGGTGTGTATATGTGTGAGTGTTGCAGCCCCTGGTAACTTGTGCAGTCCACCTTTATCCCCTGCTGTACCAGTGACATTCGGTGTGTGTGTGTGTGAGTGCTGTAGTTCCCGGTAACTTGTGCAGTCCACCTTTTCCCCTTGCTGTACCAGTGACATTCGATGTGTGAATGTGTGAGTGTTGCAGCCCCCGGTAACTTGTGCAGTCCACCTTTTCCCCTTGCTGTACCCGGTGACGTTCGGTGTATGTGTGTGGGGGGGGGCCGCAGTTCAGTCCCTTCCCCATTTTTGCTGTGACCGGTGACTTCCGAAAGTGATATGGGGCAGCCAGGAACCCGAAGTAGAAAACGGAGGCACGAGGTTATGAGTTAGGATACGTCCAACAGGCGTTCTTTCACGTCCATCCTCCATAGCCGGACCACCCCAAGCCTTCTCCCTCCTCCATCACTCACACCCGTCCACCATAGCCGACCACCTCCAACCCTCCTTCCTCCTCCTTCACCCACACCCGTCCACCATAGCCAGCCACCTCCAACCCTTCTTCTTCCTCCATCACCCACACCCGTCCACCATAGCCAACCACCTCCAACCCTTCTTGTTCCTTCATCACCCACACCCGTCCACCATCGCCGACCACCTCCAACCCTTCTTCTTCCCCCATCACCCACAACCGTCCACCATAGCCAACCACCTCCAACCCTTCTTCTTCCTCCATCACCCACACCCGTCCACCATAGCCGACCGCCCCCAACCCTTCTTCCTCCTCCCTCACCCACACCCGTCCACCATAGCCGACCACCCCCCGACCCTTCTTCCTCCATCACCCACGCCCGTCCACCATAGCCAACCATCTCCAACCCTTCTTCTTCCTCCATCACCCACACCCGTCCACCATCGCCGACCACCTCCAAACCTTCTTCTTCCTCCATCACCCACACCCGTCCACCATAGCTAACCACCTCCGAACCTTCTTCTTCCTCCATCACCCATACCCGTCCACCATAGCCAACCACCCGCAACCCTTCTTCCTCCTCCATCACCCACGCCTGTCCACCATAGCTAACCCCCTACAACCCTTCTTCTTCCTCCATCACTCGCACCCGTCCACCGTAGCCAACCACCCCCAACCCTTCTTCCTCCTCCATCACCCACACCCGTCCACCATAGCTAACCACCTTCAACCCTTCTTCTTCCTCCATCACCCACACACGTCCACCATAGCCAACCACCTCCAACCCTTCTTCTTCCTTCATCACCCACACCCGTCCACCATAGCCGACCACCTCCAACCCTTCTTCCTCCATCACCCACACCCGTCCACCATAGCCGACCACCACCAACCCTTCTTCCTCCTCCATCACCCACACCCGTCCACCATAGCCGACCACCTCCAACCCTTCTTCCTCCATCACCCACACCCGTCCACCATAGCCAACCACCTCCAACCCTTCTTCCTCCTCCATCGCCCACACCCGTCCACCACAGCCGACCACCCCCAACCCTTCTTCCTCCTCCCTCACCCACACCCATCCACCATAGCCGACCACCCCCGACCCTTCGTCCTCCTCCATCACCCACGCCCGTCCACCATAGCCCACCACCCCCAACGCTTCTTCCTCCTGCATCACCCACGCCCGTCCACCATAGCTACCCACCTCCAACCCTTCTTCTTCCTCCATCACTATCACCCGTCCACCATAGCCGACCACCCCAAACCCTTCTTCCACCTCCATCACCCACACCCGTCCACCATAGCCAACCACCTCCAACCCTCCTTCCTCCTTCATCACCCACACTCGTCCACCATAGCTAACCACCTCCAACCACACCCGTCCACCATAGCCAACCAACTTCAACCCTTCTTCTTCCTTCATCACCCACACCCGTCCACCATAGCCGACCACCTCCAACCCTTCTTCTTCCTCCATCACCCACACCCGTCCACCATAGCCAACCACCTCCAACCCTTCTTCTTCCTCCATCACCCATACCCGTCCACCATAGCCGACCACCCCCAACCATTTTTCCTCCTCCCTCACCCACACCCGTCCACCATAGCCGACCACCCCCGACCCTTCTTCGTCCTCCATCACCCACGCCCGTCCAACATAGCCGACCACCCCCAAACCTTCTTCCTTCTCCATCACCCACGCCCGTACACCATAGCTAACCACCTCCAACCCTTCTTCTTCCTCCATCACTCGCACCCGTCCACCATAGTCGACCACCTTCAACCCTTCTTCCTCCTCTATCACCCACACCCGTCCACCATAGCCAACCACCTCCAACCCTCCTTCTTCCTTCATCACCCACACCCGTCCACCATAGCCGACCATCTTCAACCCTTCTTCTTCCTCCATCACCCCCGCCCGTCCACCCGAAAGTCCTAAAGGGGGGGGGGCGCAAGGGGGATGCACGGGACCTCGGATAGGATTGGTTAGGGTAAGTCAATGAACAAGGTCGATTAGGATGAGAAGCTTCTTCTCTCTCTCTCTCTCTCTCTCTCTCTCTCTCTCTCTCTCTCTCTCTCTCTCCTTTTTTTTCTCTCTCTCTCTCTCTCTCTCTCTCTCTCTCNTCTCTCTCTCTCTCTCTCTCTCTCTCCTTTTTTTTCTCTCTCTCTCTCTCTCTCTCTCTCTCTCTCTCTGTCTCTCTCTCCCCCTTCCTCTCCCTCTCCCTCCGTCTTCCTCCATTCTTTCAAAACTCTTTGACGCCAACCCTTTCGTCACCCCTTCCCCCTCCATGGCATGTGACTGACCTCTACCCTCACCTGTTACATTGTCAGGGAACGAACGGAAAGGAACTTAGTCCTCACTTGGTGGAAAGCGAGGGCAAGGGAAGGGTTGTAGGTCCCTTGTGCCACCAAGAAGGAAAGGATACGGGACTATTGAGAGCATTTGCGGAAGCAAAAAGGAGTGTTGAATTTGGACGAGATCAGTTTGAATCAACCATCCTCCCGGACTGCATGACTAAGGCGATTGCATGGCTTGCGTGTGGGGAAGGGAAGGGAACTCATAAGGGGAGTTGGAAGGCAAAGGGGGCCTAGGATTGTGGGAAGGGGCGAGGTGTTGAACCCAACGGGGATTGTACTTGGTCATTTATCTTGTGTGGTCTTGGGCAGGTGAGTAGCCTGAGACGATTTGGACAGGGCTGGATCCACGAATGAGGACCAGGGTGGGAGAATTAGCTAAGGGATGGACTGGACCTCGAGTAAGCTGTGGATGCGGGATGGGTTGTATGGTCGGAAGGTCGGATGTTTGGATGAATGGTAAATGCCTGGATGTGGTTGTGTGATGGTTGAATGCAATGGCTCTCTCGTGAATGCAATACAAGCCTGGAAGGACTAAGGGCTGCCTTGGATAGGTGATGCGACGCTAGTGGCTCTCGCAAAAAAATATAGCGGCTAGGGGTCCGGGCGACGCCGCCTTACCCCAAGGATGCCGTCTGGGCTGCCTGGAGCCGCTAGGCTTAGTGAAAGGGTGTGTGGCCCAATGGATGACGCTTGGCCTGCGCACGATAAGAAGACAAACTCTCAATGAACTCCCTGAAGTGCTTGTGTATTGAAAGGAGCAATTGCTTGGTCAGACTTAACCGAATCGAGAAAACGCCACGAGTGCCCAAAGAGCTACCATCTTGACGCGAGAGCGGAGCTATCCCCCAATGTAAAGCCCTCTCGCAAAAGGTCCATCCCCATCCATCTCATAGCACTAGGTGGGGGTGCCCCTGGGACGAACGACCTGCACCCTGAGCAGGGCGGGTCGAGCCAAATGGGACCCGCAATGGGGTCGACCGAGGCTCGAAAGTCCTTCAAGGTACGGCCCCTACAACGCGTAGTCGTCAGTAGTATGCTCTGATACCAAATTGCAATGAACCCAGATCGTGAAGACACTTGTCAACAATGCAAGCCCACATGAATGTCAACCCGCTGATGATTAACAATAATCATAATCGTATTAAAAAAGGATGAGATGGGGAAATCATACACAGACGAAGGAGAGAGGAGGAAGAATAGACTTAGAGAGTGGAGAGACAATGCCCACTTCTGCTTCGGGTTTCTTCCTTGATCACCACCTCAAATAACCAATAGTCTGAACATACATCTGAAGTTTTACTACAATGTGCCACGTGGTACGTCAATAAGTCCTCATCAACGCACTGGAGCAATGTCGACCTCAAAATGACCAGGTACGTGTTCACGATTACCCCACAGTCATGATCTCCTCCTGAGTGACGATGAATCAGAACCGTAGTGCCAATCACTTAGCCCAGCCACGTCATCAACAGTACACGTGGCAGCAGCCACGTCAGCAGCAACGCGTGGCAGCTGCCACATCAACATGCCCAGAAGACAATAGCAAGCCTGCCACCATGCTGAGCCAGCATCGCGTCGCCGTAATCACACAAGTTCCAGCACAAAGCCAGCGCCTAACCAGCGTCGCAGAGTTGAGCCAGCATCGTCGTCAACGTGTGAAGTCAACATTGACACAAGACTGAATGAATGTCAAAGTCAGGAAGTCAACGCTTATGTAGCGTTGACGTGGGGTTTGGACCCCGGATGCAACACCCCTCAGTCGTCCAAGTCTCAATGCAAAAGACGACCCAGATTGGCCTGAAACCGAATTCCTTCTGGCCTTGATGCTGTCTGGGTACCTTCGCAAAACAAGTGAGTGCATCCGACCACGGGCCTGGGCGGGTACCTTTTAACTGACAGTTGACTCAAACTTTTGACTTCCCAATGGCAGTGTGTGGTCACACCGCCTGGCGCAGGCCGAATTTGGCCTGCGTCGTATGGGCTCCGTTTCGAGGGCCCAGACTGCTGCAGACATGGGTTACTGCATTCCTGCGGACCCATTTTCGAGTTCCATCGCATAAATAGTTAAGACTTCAACCCACGTTCATATGCAGATACAATATAAGGAGCGGTTTCAAGTAATTCTCGTTTACTAAATCATATGTCCTCAGACGGTGCTTGAGATTTGAAACGTACCTTGAACTGCTTTTGAGGTCGTCCACATCCCCCTGTAGAAAAGTACCCATGCTCTATGATCCGGTCTACTTCATATCCGGCTTCCATGTCTAGCGGAATCATAGAAGGTCTGTTTAGGAACTCATGTCATTCTACATAGGGTAACAATTTGGATGCGTGAAAGACAGGATATGTTTTGAGGTGAGGGGGAATATCAATTCGATAAGACGGTTCCTCTGCATCCCCAATTACTTGGAGAACTTCCTAGGGTCCAAACTAGACAGGCAGAAGTTTTTGAGACACATTTTCCTCTAATGAAAACTCTTTGGACTTGACCTCGACTACATCACCTTCCTTGAATGTTGATGGTCGACGATGCTTGTTAGCTTGTTCAATCATTTGGTCCTGAGCTTTCTTCAGATTGTCCTTTACTTTCTTAATGTCTTCCTGAAACAATACTGCATACTCCCGGGTCCCTGGAGGTACCCTAAGGAACTGGTCCCGTGTTAGTACATCAATGGGACGCTTAGGTTCCACCCCTTGTGCAGTGCAATAGGTGTACGCCCTGTAGCGGTATGAACACTACTGTTGTATGCACTTGCTATTTTGGGTAAGTTCTCGTCCCAATCAATCTGATCGGGTCTCACACACATGGGCAAAAGTTGCTGGCACAAACGGTTCATCTGCTCACTTTGTCCATTCGTTTCAGGGTGTCGCCCTAACGACATGGTCAGTCGTGTATCGTATGCTTCCATAAGCTTTTGCCATGATATACTTGTAAACCTCGCATCACGATCAGATACAATGGAGAGAGGAAAACCATACTAAGTCACCCATCACATCTGAAACTTTTGGATCACAAGTTCAGTTCGCGCTTCTGCCGGTAAGGGAATAAAGATGGCATATTTAGAGAAACGATCCACAATAACCATTACTTGACTATTGTCGTTCCGACTTTTGGTAAGACTCATGAAATCCATTGAGTAGACTCACCCGGTTCACTAGGAATCGGTAATGATTTCAAAAAATTAAGTGGATTCTCATGTGAAGGTTTGTTTCTCTGACAAACCAAACATGTACGAACATAAGTTAGTACGTCTTCTTTCAGTCTTTTCCACTCAAAGCGTTTTCTAACCTCTGCATAAGGTTTCTTGAAACCAAAATGTCCTTCAAAGTCATGACATTCCCCAATCAACAAACTATTGATTTCTTCTTGATGAGGAATACATAATCTTCGTTCAGTTTGGTCTAACAAGAAAAGCAAACCTTCTGTCACTTTATAGTTAGGAAGTAGAGATGGATCTTTCGCAAGCCCCAATCAACAAACTTTTCATTTCTTCTTGATAAGGAATACATAATCTTTGTTTAGTTTGGTCTAACAAGAAAAGCAAACCATCGGTCACTCTATAATTAGGAAGTAGAGATGGATCTTTCGCAAGGACATCTATAATAGGCTTCCAAATAGGATCAATAACATATCCTTGATGAATTTTGTCTTTTAAATCACTCCCAACATCCAAATAAGAGACAATAGTACCAAAGAAATCACTGCGTCTGGACATGCGTCTGCAACCACATTAGACTTACCTTTGATAGTTTCCAATTCAAAAGCAAAAGTATCAATGGATGCAAACCAACGTACTAGCTCAAAGAGTCTAGGCTGTGTCTTTATCCACTTCAAGGTAGAGTGGTCTGAGTACACAGCGAAGTGTCTCTCCAGCAAGTAGTGCTTCCATGTGTCCAGTGCACAGACTAAGGCATATAGTTCTCTTTCATAGGTGCAGTTGGCAACCTTGTCTGATGGTAGACGTGCAGACATAAATTCAATAGGTCTATAACCATTACAATCGTTTTGTTGAAGGACTGCGCCAATCCCATACTGACTTGCGTTAGTAGTAATGATGAAAGGAAGAGACGGATCAACAATTTTTAGAACAAGGTAGTGAGTCAAAGCATACTTTACCTTTTTGAAGGAGGACTCACAGTCATTGTCCCACAACCGAATAGTTTCTTTCTTCAGTAATCTTTTCATTGGTGCGACAATCTATAAAAAGTTTCTGACGAACTTTCTGTAGTAACTTGCCAAACCAAGGAAATATCATATTCCAAATACAGGCTTAGGTTGTAGCCAATCTCTAATTGCTGATATTTTCTTTTCTTCGGGCCTTAGGCCCTCCTCGTTCACTACATGTCCGAGGTATAAGACTTCAGACTTAGCGAACTCATATTTCTTTGGGTTTAGCTTAAAGTTGCCCTCCAACAACTTTCCTAATACAAGACGTAAGTGTTTTTCGTGATCTTTTAGTGTCCTACTATACACTAGAATGTCGTCGAGATAGACAATGACGAGCTGATCCAACCATTGACGAAACAATTCATTCATGGATCTTTGGAAGGTCGTCAGGGCGTTACTCAGTCCAAAAGGCATAACCACGAACTCGTAGTGACCATACCTGGT